TGGTTCCCAGGAGATGCATCATCTCTGTGCGCACACATCCTGGTCTGTTTCCTCACATAGCCTTCAAACTGAGACGGACATCTGGACATGTAAACCATCAGCTTCTTCATTTAGAGAGCTGTCATTTTTGTTAATATGGAGGCACTAAATAGTGAATTCCTGCAAGGGATTATCACAAGGCGAGTTGTGGTATTATAGCTAAGTAGGATGGAGACGTCTAAAATTAGCCGCCTGGTGCTTGAACTGAAAAATCTTTTCTGCATTGAGAGGTTGAAAGATTTACTGACTCACAGCTCAAACCACTGTGATAAACCAGACAGCATAGTGAACCCAGAGTAGTGACAGTTGAGGAGAGATAGATGGGCTATGCATCCATTTGAGCAGTGCTGGGTCACCACGTGCCACCAGAACAGCTTCACTACTCCTTCGCACCTTGTTCAGCTGGTTTCAGATCTGGTGGTTGTGAAGACTACAGCATTCACATCATTTTCATCCTCATCAAACCATTCACTGACCCCTCATGTCCAATGGATGGGGGGCACTGTTGTCTTGGAAGAGACCACTCCTTTATTCTGGGTTTTCCCTTTAATTTGTTACCTGTCTGTAGTTTCAAAGTAGAAAGATGCTCTGACTCTGAGTGGATGGAGAACAGCAGGAGCCCTCAGTTTGCTGCTATGTGCTGCAGAGCCAGTCACAGCTCTGACCATAATAGAGGTTTAACTTTGTAGCGTTTTGATTTGAGGCACCATCAGACTGTGCCACCACAAGCACACAGACACACATAGGGACTTAACAGTGTCATGTATGTTTTCATCGCGCCGTATTGGCCATAATCACCGTCTCTCCATCTCAGTGAGCTCATGCTAATTGATCGGACGTCTCCGGTGGCTGCCATGATTTCTCTCTCTGCCGTGCATGCTGCTGTACCCTACTCTCCCTGCCTCTCCTTCCACCCGCCTTCCCCGCTGCCATATGTTGTGCCTGTGTGGCCGGCCGTCGTGTCAGGCCTGACTAGCGCCTTAACGGCAAGGCTGACTTTGATTTATTTCCTCTGAAATCTGGGGGCCAGGGGTAATAACACCGAATGACATTATTTGTTTATCTAATCCAAGGCTGCTTTTCTTGGCAGAGTTTAGATGTGACGACGTGATACCACCCCTCCCCACTCGCAGTTATACCCCCCACAATTTCTGATTGTGCCATGATTAGAAGGTCTGGCAAGTCGCTTAACCTCATCCAAAGGAATGCCTCTGAAATCTGACAGAGCAGAGAGAAGAGGGGAAAAATAAAGATTGAAATTAAGCAATGCAATTAAATTGTCAAAGTGCAGATTTAACCCAGCTACGCAGTTTGGGGGACAATTTAATAAGAATGTTTTCTGTCTGAACTAAATGGTT